CTTGCCCTGTGTAATCACATTCTATCTTGTGACAACTCTTATTCCTCTGACACTTAGCATTTGAGAGATCAGAGGCACAGCTATTTGGTCACTGTGGAGGCCAGAGAGATTGAGATTGTTGACAGCTTCAGTTTGCTTGTCTCTACAATCAACACTCTTGGTTCCAGTAGCCAGGAAATTAAAAGATGAATTGCATTGGGAAAATCTGCTGTTAGAGACCTCTCCAAAGTATGGAAGAGCAATGATGTCAGTCTGAAGACTAAGGTGTGCCTGATACAGGCCATGGTCTTTGCAATTACTTGCCACCTATCAGAGAACTGGACAATGACTAGGGATGAAAGAAGGAGAGTTTGATGCCTTTGAGCTTTGGTGCTGGAGAAGAGTATTGAATATACCATGGTCTGCTAGGAGAACAAACATGTTTGTCCTGGAGAGGGTGAAGCCAGGCTGCTCCTTGAAGGCAAAGATTGTGAAGCTTTGTCTGACAAACTTTGGACATGTTGCAAGGAGGCACCAGTCCTTGGAGAGTGATGTCATACTTTGGAGGGTGGAGGGACAGCACAGCAGAAGGAGACCCTCAATAAGGTGGATTGATTTAGTCACTGGGGTAATGAGTGTGGGTGTGTCAGAGATAATAAGATGGGCAAGGGATAGAGCAGGGGTTAGGGCTGTTGTACATAAGGTTACTATGAGTCACAGGCGACTTAACGGCATATGAAAACAACAATTGTCTTATTTACCTAGTGCTGCTAGAACAGAAATACAAGTTGGGGGGCTTTAACAAACAGGAATTTATCTGTTTTTTCACAGGTGAGGGGGCTAATTCAGGGTGCTGACTCTAGAGGAAGAGGACCCTTGTCTCTTGAGTTTCTGTGCTCCTCAGCAATCTTCAAGTGACTTGGTATCTCTCTTCCCCCAACTCTGCGTCTCTCACTTGTTGCTTAACCTCTTTTGTATTCCAAGAGATTGTCTCAAGACATACCCTACATGAATCCTGTCTCGTTTACATGACTAAGAGAACCCATTCCCAAGTGGGATTAAAGCCATAGACATAGAGGTGAGGATTTACAGCACATTTGGGGTGTGGGGGGGAATACAAATTCATCCCCTGACAATTATCCTCATCACCTTCATCATTTGTCAGCTTGTTTATTACATGTTTGCTCTTTGAGGCCATATACTAGTATAATCACTTTTATTGCTCCATGTTACTTGGTAAGAAGCGTTCTTTCTCTCTCACACACACACACATATATATATAATATA